GAAATAAAAACCTCAAGTATTCGATAACGTAACGTTTAACGTAAAACCCACAACTGCAGAAAAGTGCATTTTCAAAATTAGCAGAATATCAATATAGTTTTGCAGGCATTTGGAATGGAAACGCAGCTATTGCTTGAAAAATATGAACACTGAAATACCAAGATATTAAGAAATAGCTCAAGACACCCGAATAAATCATGGGAGTTTTTTTTTTTTATCCAAACATTGGATGCATTGTTATTTACAATCGATATAAAAAGCACTAAAAGAACAATGGATTAAACTGAAAAGAGAATAAAAAGGACAAAAAGAAAAGGATAATTGTTACCAAAACTACTATTTAAAATCAATTTCTGAGGAATAATAAAGTATGATAATAAAGTATGAACCTACATCTATTCCTACTAAAAAAAAATCACATCAGTTTGCATCAGCTAACTTAGATATAAAATGTTTCTATGAGTCTCAAAGAGCTTTCTGAGGCTTCAAAGGTATGACAATAGCAGCTTATGAGTCTGCTGAGTGATTAAGGAGGTCTGTAAATCAGTTATTTTACTGAAAGAAACAAATATTTTCAAAAAAACCTGCTAATATTCTAAGCTCTGGGTTCCCCTAACGAGCTAACCCCAATGATAATTAGTTATAACTAAAAAGTGGCCATACTGGCAACACTAATTTTGAACGCTGGGATTCTGAAACAGATTATAATTCGCTTAAATTTCTAATAAATGTTAAAAGTTCAACTTAAATCTCAAATTGGTGAAAAGACTTTCCCTTCTGTCTGATGTCGCTCTATCTTTCCTCCTGGTGACGCCTCACAAATCCTGGATAGTCAGCCTTCATTGGCTGACTAATGCGCGGCAGTAAAAGCCTGGACTAACTGCGGCGCTGCATGCACGCATAACCACGGATAGAGAAGACTCTCCCTTCCATCACGATCCATCACTGGTGCGCATTTCACCTCTTTGTAGTGAGCGATGCCCACCTCCCTGCAGTGGACATAAAGCTGACAGCTCCCATGATGAGGGATGATGTTCCTGAAAGCTAACGAGCGTGGTCTGCTTCGCTTCATCACACCTGTCCGGAGATGACCTTCAGCCAAACTCACCGATGGACGTCGGGGCACGCAGGTGAACCAAAAAAAGAAAAAAGAAAGAGCAAACAAACATGGGAGGCAGCGTGACTTAAAGTTTCGCAATCCTCCACCGAGCTCAGCTGGAGCTGGCCTTGGTCCTGGCAATCATTCTTTCTTGCATGATTTCTCAGCGCCGGGGCTTACAAGCACAGCTAAAAACTCCACTCCCAACACATATTTAATTCAATGTCCTCCCCACCTCTGCCTTTGTCCTCCTGCCTCTGCTCTACCCCTGATTCTCTGCTCAAATGTGCGGACCTCATATTGAGCCAGCTGCTTTTCAAGCTGCAAAGATTACAGCGGAGGAGGAAAATTCGTCCCTGCCTGGCGTCCATATTGTAGCAGCGCTGCAGAGGGACAGATTAAGACAAATTAGCTCCTGACGACTTAAAGAGTGGATATGATTGAGCCGCATGGAAGAGAGCTATTCATTACTTCCCCTTGCTCTCTTTTTTCTGCATCTCTCCATCAAGGACGGAGCATGAGATGATGAGGAAGAGTCAAAGAATTAGTGAAACATTGTACCTTTAGTGCCTTAGAAAACTATTTGTATACAAAATGAATGCATCAGAATAACACACAGAACTTTTGGTTGTAATGAGACAACATGCGAAAAGGTTCAAGGGATTGGAAAACTTGCAAGGCACTGTATGCTAATACTGTTGCTGGTATTATGAGAACAGGAGGAGTTGAGCATCACACCCTATGCATTGCTGCTGGAAATGTTTGTGCTTGTGTGTGAGGGAGCCAAAGAAAACCAAATCAAACGGGGGAAATAATCATATTCACTTTGAGCATCGAGAGTCGAACAGAAGACAGCGTGATGCATTTTTCCGTTGCTGTTTTTTAAGGTGATGCAAACACTGAGCAGTCTTAAAATGCTTCGCAACAGAAAACAAGAAAATAAAAAGACTAGATGAGTCCTTGCAGTCTTTCTATCCTGCTAGGGAGAGGCTAATCTGCAGTAGTTTATTTTCAGATTCCACCGTGCAGCATAAGCTCCTTTAATATAGCAAATGGAGAGGAACTGGGCTGGCATCAAAGTTAGATCCAAGGCTTCCAGCTTTAAAGAGAGGGGGGGATATCTTACTATGTAAATGTATTCCATACCCAGAACTTAAAGGCTGCAGAGATCCTATACATACTTAAGAAGGACAGTAAAATAATCTGCATCTCTTTTTTAATTTATCATTAAAAAATGTCAAGATGGTGTTAAAAGAGGGATTTTTTTATTTGTTAGACACCCACTAAGGTAATTATTTTGATTCAGATCCTTTAAATTCTTCAACAGAAGGTCGCAAAAGCTGAAATCTGCATGTAAATGCCTATAGTAAGTGGAAAACAGCTTCCTGGGGTGAAGTTGAATACATGGTTTTATTTTCTTATCTTTCCTGCTATTTCCCCCCCTAAGGCAGCAAACAATTGGTCAATTCCCAAAATCCCACCAGTAGTTCTTCATTTTATCAGGAAAAATGCACCAGGAGATTGACTCCATTGTCCTAGTGAAGGTAAGTGCTTTTAAATTGTGTGATCTACCGTCTCAGCTTTAACATGTCTTCACTAAACATTTAGTCTGGTTTTTGTATCTGTTAGATTAAAGGTGAAACGTGTGGTGGATGTTTTGGCTCACCTTTCTTGACGAGCTGGATGTTTGCTTGGCGCCGCCCGTTGGCGTTTGTCACATAGCAGGAGTAGTTGCCAAGGTCGCTCTCCTCCAAGGAGCTAATGGTCAGAGAGATGGAAACTTCCTGCTCGCCCAGGTGTTCCCGGATTTTCCTGCAGAGGTCGGCACAGAACTCGTAAATTTGTGCACGGACGTGAGCAGTTATTGCATCTCCCTTGTGCCAAAAAGATTTCGGTGAGCACAATGAAACAAACACAGAGCAAAGATTTGAAAAGCAACAATTACATGTCTTAAAAAGGGAATGTAACTGTCTAGAAGGTTAAGATCAAAGCAGCTTCTGGCAGTCTGTGTTTAAGGAGTCTGATTGAAAATAATGAAAAGAAGAAAAACACGGCGATCGGAGTTTGCAGAGAGCAGAAGTTGGTGCTTTAAGTTTTGTAAATTTGCTTTGTGATGATAGATTCCAAACAATGCCTGATCTGACATTCCATAAAAGCTGAAACCAAATAAAGAAGTCTCTCTGATTTCCTACAAAAAACACAAAAAGATGTTTCCCTGGAAGGAATTGCTCTTCTGCTAGCAGCATGAATCCTAAAATCTAAACTTGGCATTACAGTTTTTATATCATATATGCTCCTTTGAATGTGAAACCTGCATATCCTGTAGCTTTGCTCCATATTTCTATAAGTGTTCCAAACTATTATTTCACACTTGATTCTGACTTTTTAAATAAACGATGAAATGAATGAAAACAAAATACAGTCGTCAAAGGAGGATTTATCTAATTCAGAGAAAAAAAATCCAAAACATTTAAATAATCTGACCCTTTGCATAAAAATGTCATCCCCTATAAACACAAGAACCGATAATAAGTTTTACATCCCTGCAGGAAATGTGGCCCACTCTTTTTTGCAGAATTGGTTGAATAAAATCACTCTGCTGGTTACATTAATGTCCAGTTTGATATCAAGGTGGGGAATCCTACAATGTTAGAGAGATATACCCACCTTCAAAAAACAGAAATACAAAACATTTTTCTTCAGATTTTCTTGTGTATAAGTCATGTTCTACTCTTGGTAAGCTCTTCTAAAATATAAAATGTATGGAGTGAAATATATAAAGGTTTTTGGTTTTATCAATTTGTCTTTTGATGGGGCTTCAGATAATTTGTGGTCAGCAGAAATGTTTGAATCACAGCTTGACCATAAAGGGCTGTTTCTACAGAGAGTGTGCATAACAATCATTAATGCACACTCTCAGATAATTTAGAGAAGCCATTTAACCTAACAGTCATGTTTTTTGCACTGTGGGTGGAAGCCGGGGTACCCACGCAATGAGAGAACCCACGCATGCACACACAGACATGCATGGGTTCAAGTAGAAAACCCCGGACCAGGAATCAAACCCAGAACTTTTGTGCTGCAAGGCAGCAGCGCTAACCACTGCCCACTGTGCAGCCCCGAGCACGGACCTTAAAAAAATTGCTTTATAACTTTCTATACTGATTGACATCAATAGCTGTTCTTGAAGTTTTTTAGATGCAAAAAATATCTATTCATTTTTGTAATCTTTCAGTGTACATTATGTGGTTAAGCACTTTTTATTTACATCAAATTATTACATAGTGCTGAACCAAATTTGACAAAATTGCATTTCTTGCCTTGTACTTCAAATCTGATGAATAAAGTAACTGATGTGAAAATTCTATTTCTTTTACATTAAATTATTATTTTTAAGCCATATGGAAAAAAACATTGTTTTAATCATTAAAATGAGTAGCAGAAAGCTAAATACCAAATGCTTTTAGTGTACAGTATTGCAAATTAAATGCAAAAGTGTGCATCACTAATGGTCAACATCTAAAGGATTAATCGGCTGTTATCAAGGAGAAAAGTGGCACAGCCACTTAACCTGAACTTTATATTCATACAATTAAAAACAGAAAACGTATTCAATATTGTAACTTCTCAAACAAATGGTTTAATTTGACATATATCCTCCACAAGCTTACTTTTTTCCCTTATTGAAAAATAAGGGGATCTGTGGGACAAAAGATTGATTAGGCGCTCGGAGGGAGATAATATTAAAAATCAATTTTGAAAATGTTCACAAAAACCCCCAAATTATTCGGATAGTTGTTTTTTTTTCTTGTTAAACTTTGAAAACTGACTTTTGTATTTACAGACAGTTATCTTTGTCCTAAATTAAAATATGTTTGATGAACTGAAACATGTAATTGTGACATAAAAGCAGAAGTAGAAGAAATCTGTCACAGACACTGCAACCTACTGCAATCATTTAAATTTAAAAAAATATAATACCTTATTGATTCTTGACTAAATATCCGATGTAAAGGAAACAAATTGTTCCCAAGGTTCATCCAAAATAATCAAAAGTCAGTGTGTGATTTATCAAAACGACATGACTGTCATCCCAGAGCACATGCAGAGGCCTGGGAGTAAAACTCAAAGCACTTCCTCCCAGCTGTAGCCTTTTAAACCAATCCCAAACAACATCAGATCAGATATTCTCTATAAAAGGAAAGGAATAAAGAAATTAGGCCCAAAATAACAAGCATCGACTCCTTTATAAAATATGGATTTTTCTGACAAAAACAAGTTTCTTTGAAGAAACTTTGAGCTATGCCTTGGTGCATCCTGAAAATCCATATATCCTGACCTTGGTATTACAGGTTTTTTTTATGAGATTTATCATTGATAAGCTCTGCACGGCAACAGTCTTGCTCCTTTTCCTAGCCATAAAAAAAGGAAAGTACATTAATCATAGCCTTCATTTAAAAACAGCTCAATAATCTGCTTATATTTGAAAACTACCTCTAAGAAACTGTGGTTATTGCTTGACAATTGCTACATATTACAATCTTATCCCTGCAATAGAATACAGCTTTATGTCTGCATAAATATGTGTGCTCTAACCCAGTCCAGAAAACATGTGCAGTCATCATTCAACTCAATGTAGTTGAATTGTCACTTATGGGGGAAAAATAAAAGAAACCTCTGCAAAACAATCCAGAGTGAGTACTGCAGCTGTCAATGTATTAAATACTGTATAGGTTGGTGTCACAGATCACAGTAGCAGTCTAAGCATAGGAATCAAAGTGGATTTAATTGTTCCACAAAATTATCTAGCAAAGCAGAAACTTTTAGTAGTTGGAGATAAACTGTTTTAACCAGTTTATCTCCAACTACTAAAAGTTCCTGTACATGTACATGAAACAACTATGTACACTTTTGCCTAATGTATTCAAGGGACATGAGTGCTGCACTACAGAATAAATACCTTATGAAATTATTTTTTTTATGTGTCTATCAAAACTTGAAATTAATATATAATTTATTGGAGAAACACATAATAAATTAAATATGTATTTAATTGATTTATATTCATTATTTTAGTACTTATTTCCTGTTTCTTGCAGTGAAGCACATCATGATTTAATTAAAACTGTCACACATCAAAGTCAAAAGTCAAACACCTGATTGGCTGCCTCTAAATGAGCATTTTTAAAAAATTTTTTTTTTTTACTCCCATGTCACATTTTTGCCAGGAAGGTTGAAAATAAATTTCAGAAATGTGTTGCCATTTTTTTTATAGCACATCAGGTGAGCAACGCCGGCCTCTTTACGCTTAACTAGGGATATAGAAGCCGGAGCTGCTAACCCAATGTGCTGCAAAAAAGCCGCAGAACATTTTTTAAGTTAATTCCATGATATTGAATTTAGAGTAAAACAGGGAATAGCATGAAGCCTCTGACTTTGACAGATGTGAGACAGTTTGAAGTAATTCCTACTATACTTCAGTGTAGCAACATGAAATAATTTATTAAATCATGAAATAATTATATGTACTCTAAAAAATATATTCATTATGTTTCACTGAGGCCCATATAATTATATATTTTTTAAAGATATTCTGTATTTTTACAATTTTTTTTTCTATATTTTGAATTTTTTTTCCAATTTCAATAAATTAATGACGCATATAAATAATTTCATAAGGGATTTATTAAATCGTGGCATTCATTACCCTCTATAAATATCTGAATTCTGAATGCAAGTTCCTAATACCCAGGGTTTGGTGTAAAGTTGGCCAAACTCTTATATGAAGGCTTTCCATCACTTTTATCATTTTATTATTTATTCAGGGGAACTGATTCACCAGTTGTCAGTTGTTTAATTGGGTTTATTTTAAGAAATGTTCCCTGTATGCCTTGTAGAATGGGTTGAAAACACTTAAAATGTAAGAAAATAGCTGCAAGCTAAAGATAGCTATCAAGGACACTGGCAGTTTCGGGAAAATTAATAGCTTTAGCCTTGCCAAGAATCACCTTTTCATTTTTCATTATTAACACCTGCAGGTACAGTACTAGTATTACTGTTAGAAATCATACAGGTAGGTAAACTTGTGCTTAAAGCTGGATTGTCGTGAGATCTAAGTTTTCAGTCTCACAAGAAATCCATGTTGAAAGACTCCTGCTAATACGCCAGTGTCATAATCACTAGCGAGTCGGTCCAATGACATGCCAGCAGTGTTTTTTGGGGCGGGACATGTAGGAATGACGACGGTCACAAGGGCCTTACTACTACGCTGGAGGACTCACCTGTCAATACAGCAATTGACACCGTTTTAAGCTAAAATAGCGACAATTTCTCATTTAAAAAAGGAGCAAAGAGAAGAATTTTGTGTATTTGTAGATGGGAAAGGTGTCTGTGCACACATTGAAAAAATTTGCAGCGACAGCATTTGGAAAAGTTTGATTTATAAGCTTACTCCGCTGGTCGTGAAAACACTCAAGCAGCTGCGGACCAATCCTTTTGTGATCACGGTGTCTGTGTTGGTGGCTCCGATTGGCTGAAAGTACATTATAGAGAGTGGCTACCAGCTGGCATATCACCCAAGTACTCGAAGTATCGTACTAAACGTCCCTCCTTTTTACGGACAGACTGAACGGCAGCCATTCCAGATGGATCACGTAGAACTCAACTCAGCCCCACACATATTATTCTTGCTTCTGCCAGGTCAACAGGTAGTGTCAATGTAGATATTATTAAATATGTTTAAAAAGAGTTCAATAGCAGCAAGTTTCCTTAATACAATAATAAAAAAAGCTCTATGCAGCTGCTTCCCTCCA